GCCCCGAATTTCTCTGAAGCAGATGCTAGATGTTATCACAGATGCTCTTTTTGTGGTGGCAAAGTAAACCCCAGACCTTTGCTGCAGGGAAAAGCAGAAAGCTTTTCCAGAGTGCCTGAAAGATTATGAAGAATTTAAAATAGGACGTTGGTGAGAAATGCAAGCCAGAGACAGTCTTGAAAACCAGAGTCCAGTTTTCAAATTGAGTCCAGTTTACTTATCCGTTTAACAATTAAATAAAAGGCAACTTTTAAAGATACTGTTAGATCCCTGCTAATCTAACCAGTCAGACTCCCCGCCCCCACTTCTCCCCCCGCGCCTCCCCCCCACCCCCCCACCCCCCCCCCCCGTCCCCAAATTAGTCGTGACTTAGAAGTTTGTGGGAAAGGGGTATGTGTTTATGGGACATCATCTTCCCGATTTACACCACGTACTGCCTAGACATAATACCCCTCCCTGACCCACTTCCATTTTTTTAGAGTGGTTTTAGGTTTATAGAAAAATTGAGCAAAAATAAAGTTCCCACAAGCCTCTCCCCATCCCAAATTTCCCCTTATTATGAACATCTTGCATTAGTGTCATAATTTGTTACAATTGATGAACCCATATATTATTACTAACATCCATAGTTTAAATCAGGGTTCACGCTCTGCGTGTACGAATGTATAATGACATGCGTCCACCATTACAGTATCATACAGTTTAGTTTTATTGCCCCCCAAATCCTCCGTGTCCCACCTAGTCAACCTCCCTCCCCCAACCCCTGGCGACCACTGACCTTTTTACAGTCTCCGTAGTTTAGTCTTTTCCAGAATGTCATGTGGCTGGAAACAAACAGTGTGTAGTCTTTCCAGACTGGCTTCCTTCGCTTAGTCATAGGCACTTAGGTTCTTCCATGACTTCTCCTGGCCGGATGGCTCATTTCCCTTGAGCGCTGAGTAATCATTCCTTTGTGTAGATGTGCCACACTTTACCCATTCACCTATTAAAGGACATCTTAGCTGCTTCCTGTTTTGGACAATTATAAATAAAGGTGCTAATAAATATCTGTATGCGGACGTAGTTTTCACTTTCTGGGTAAATCCTGAGGAGTGCATTTGCTGGATTGTATCACAGAATTTTTAGTGTGACTTGCACATGTTTTTCCTTGGTCAGTGGCTTCAATCAGAAATGTTTTTTTTTTATGAGGTGTAGTGTTCATATAGTCAAGTACACGAATCTTAAGCATACAGTGTGATGAATTTGTGTATGTGTGTACACACACGATCGAGATGTGGACCATCTCAGCACCCAGAAGACTCCTTGTACACCTTCCCCATCACCGCCCCTCCACCGTCTGGAAGTGGCCACTCTGACTCCCAGCATAATCGCTGGTTCTGCTGGTCAGGCAGCTCCCACGCTGCCACTATGGAAAGCAGATTTTTTTTTTTTTTTTTTTAAGGGGAAAAGTGGCTGTGAGTTGCAGTTTGTTTCCTTTCTGGTTTGTTTTGAGTGGAGCCCGATTTCATCACCAAATTGTTCCTGCTGGTCTGGACCAGGGGTTGGCGTGCTTTCTGGGTAAATATTTTAGCTTTGCAGGCCAGCGGATGAGTGAGCATGACTGCGCTCCAGTGAAACTTTAGTTACAGAGATAGGAGGTGAGCCCAATGTGGCGCTGGGCCTGCGTTTGCGAACCCGGGTAGAGCAGATCTTTCCAAGCTTTGTGAAGTCAGTCCAGGCCCTGCGTTCAGCCTGCACCCGAGGGTGGGGACAGACGCTGTGCACCTTTGCAGGCCCCTCGGGAGACTTTCATGCACTTTCCAGGTTGAGAAATCTCAGTGTTTCCTTCTAAGGAGGAAGCTAATAAGTGTCCTGGGACCAAGAACACCACAGATATATTTATATGTAAACAAAAGCCCATTGAGTCTCTTTTCTCCTTAGCACTTTGATGAAGGTCTCATTTCCCCTTTGACCACCTGTCATTCTTCCACCTCCTCTACTGCGGGAACAGGCTTTTACAGGCTAGGTGGAGGGGGCGTTGGAGCCCAGTGGAAAACTCTCCATATTAAAGTTGAGGAGTGAAGGTCGTTCTTCAACAAAAGCAACGGGGCAGGGGAATATGGGATCTGGAGTCTTGGGGGAATCCTGAGATGAAAAGTGCCCCGGGGAAGAAGGAGGGAAAGTTGTGGTCAGAGGGGGAATTTTCCAGTGCGGCTCCTTGAGGTGGAACAATTTCGAGTGACTCCGGGGGCTGAGGTAACGGCAGCTGCTTGCAGTTATGAAGCACGCCTGTGTTTCTAGCACTTCATCCTCAACAGCCTCACTTGATCTGTTCAGTTTCCTAGGAAGTGGCTGCTGCTGGCACTCCCATTGTACAGATGCAGAGACTGAGGCTGAGGGGTTATACGTAGCTTAGGGAGGACCATGGAGGGACTCTGAGGTAGGAGCCAGGACTGGAGCCCTGGCAGTTGGACACCTCTCAAGAGACGACCAGGTGGGTGCCTGGGAGGGTGGAATTGTAAGCCAGTGGCAGTGAGAGATGGAGGTGCTGTCGGTGTGTGTGCTTGCTCTGCAGCTTTGAGGCGGCAGGAGAGAATGCTGGCAGGATGGAGGACCCCATGGCAGGAAAGAATGGACAGGCTTAAGCCATAGCCTTCAAAACTCTCAAAACTAAAAAGCTGGTCTGCGGCCACATTAGTGCTAGCTGGGAGCAAAGGCTGGGCAAATTCTAGAGAGAGACTGCATGAGGCTTTGGAGGGTTGTGCAGAGAGCAACCTGCATAAGACAGGATTAAAGCAATATTTGAAAGTGCAACAGGCATCATTTTCTGCTTTCTTTGGGCATTGTGCGAATAATAATAGTTTGATTGAATGACAATAATAATACCTCCCCACTAAGCAGAACTTTCCAACAATTGGGAATTTTTTTGTGTTTTATTTCAGGAAACCACAGCCTAAAAAGAAAGAAAAAGAAGTGGTGGGCAGGGGATTTATTCAAATATACCAACTTCCAGGTTTTACTGCACAGTTGGGTCTCTCTTCCATCTTTTAAGTCTATATTTGTCCTGCAAAGAGGACAGAGGGCAGAGGAAGAAGCTCAGTGGGCCTTAACAGGACTTGATTACAAGTTTCAACACAACAAATGTTTGCTGAGAATTTTAAAAGTCATGTACTGTTGGGGATATAAAAGAAGTATCCAAAACATGGTTTCTGCCTTCGAAGAACTTTCCAAGATGGTGAGATGATTCATTATCTTCAATGTGAGGGGGCAATTGTATAGACACAGTTTATTGAAAATCCTCAATAAAATTTAAGGCAAAAAAAGGGTTTAAGAGATTCCCAAAAGTCTTGTCTCCTGGAACAGTCCAGATTTGGAAGTTCTGTGTGATCATGTCTAATTCATTCATTCTTTCTTTCTTTCTTTCTTTCTTTCTTTCTTTCTTTCTTTTTTTTTTTTTTTTTTTTTTTCAATTCTCACCTGGGGATTTTTTTTTAATTTGAGAGAAACATCAAAGGTTGCCTCCCGTATGTGCCCCATCCAGGGATCAAACCTGCAACCTAGGTATGTGCACTGACTGGGAATCAAACCTATGACCTTTTGGTGTATGGGATGACACTTCAACCAACTGAGCCACCTGGCCAGGGCATCACATCTAATTCTTAAGTGCCAGGTACTCTATCCAGGCCGGCCTTTCCCCATTTGTTGTGTTGAAACTGCCAGGAGAGCTCAGCGTCTGGAAGGCACCGATGAGAAACATTCTGGCGCACAGCTGGGGTTTGGGCATGGCCCCCAGCTTCCTCTGGAACTTTCTTTGGAACATCAGGAGTGCATGCAGAAGTCATACATTCTGCTTCTGAATCTTAGTCCACGTTCCCTTGGGAGTCTGAAACCACACCGTTCTATAGGAACCCCTAATTGACTTATCTGACCCTGCTTCGTTTTGGGAAGTCCCATGCAGGTGTGTTGGCTGCCTCTTTGTCATCCCAGATGTTGTGGGCTGGCAGCTGGCGGGCCATGGTGGTACACAGCCTGCATTCTTTATTAACAGAAGTAGTAACCATCACTTAAAATCCTATTTGCCATCCGAGTCTGGATTTCTAGCTTCTTGTGAAATGTTGAATCTGGCAGTACAAGGACAGATGTGCCCAGTACACTCCCCTGCCCTGGAGGGAGGCCTGCCCCCCACCTCCCCAGCAATGGGTGGTGCTTCCATTGCCATCATCACTGGCCCTGCCCTGTTGCTTTCTTGATCTGGATTGAGTGTTTTTCTCTACCTGAGCTCTATCAAAAGTGGATTCCTAAAGAGAGAAATAGGAAGTCATGAGTGTCTTCTCTTCTGCCTGGCCCGTGTCACCACGGCTGTCGCCTGCCTGACTCCAACAGGTGTTGGTTATCTGCTCCGACAAATGGGTGTCCCTCATTATTGATTACCCTCAGATCTCTCATATTTCAGATTAATTTTTAAAGCATTGGATGTAGGATGAGCACATTCTCCTTGGCTCTGTGTCTTCTTTTGTGAACAAAACCCACCCCCCAACCCTAGACCATTTCATCATTTAAGTCCCACTCACCATGAGCCAGCATGGGTTAGACCTGTCGTTGGCACGTCATTCTCATTTCCCTCTGTCCAGGAACATGTATTCCCCGATGACTTGAAACAGCACCCATGAGCTGCACGTGGGCCCACTGCTCCACGCCTGGGTAATAGCCCAACCTTTGCTTTAGGGAACTAGTCCCTGCTGCTGCTAGGTGGGGAGGCAGTGAGTGACCATGGTCACATTTCACTTCAAAGGTGAACCAGTTTCAAAGAGGGCAAGTTGTGTTTGTTATCAAATGAGGGGAAAGTACAGGATTCTTCAAGAGGGGGAAAATCGTGTACAATGCTGACTGGTACGGACCTTCTAATATAGCGCTGGCCGCCCCTGGAGCTGCAGCCTGGCTGAGTTTGGTGTGAAACGTGCCAGGGAGAGCGTGGGAAGGCAGACACGATGGAGTGAGGGGCCCCCTGTGTTCTTTCCTAGGCACCCCCTGGCCACCTTCTTCCACCTGTTTTTCCGAGTGAGCGCTATCGTCACTTACGTGGGCTGCGACTGGTTCAGCAGGAGCTTTGTGGGCTGCTTCGTCACCGTGCTCCTCCTCCTCTCCTTCGACTTCTGGTCTGTGAAGGTGAGCCCCCTCTGATGCCGCTGCTCCCGGGACACGTGGGCTGCGCCCGGATGGTGACTGTCCTGATGCAGGTGGCCCGTTTGAGCGAAGAGATGCTCTGGCTGGAACTGCTGGTGCATTCTTAGGAATACGGAGCCAGCCTCACTTAAAATCAGAGGGAAAAACACATTGTTTAGTGTTGGGTAAAGGGCTTCAGGATATCAACTGTTGCAAATATGTGCCATGTGAGATGACAACTCCATATGGCTTTGATTTTTAATAAAGTTTACATATAAAGTTTACATATAATATACAGAGATTTGACTGTTCTACCTACTGTAGGTATATTTATTTGGGGAGTCTGTCACTTTTTAAGGTAAGCTTAATTAAAAATTAGAAGCCTTGAACACTGAGAAACCACCCCAGTTCAGTTCCCCTCTTCTCTGCTCCCAGTACAAGTTTACCTTTTGTTTTATTCGCCAACAAACAGGTGATGACCTGCCCTTTGCCCAAGGTGCGCTGATCATCATTTTGTCCCTTTTCCTCAGAACGTAACTGGGAGGCTCATGGTGGGCCTCCGCTGGTGGAACCAGGTCGATGAAGATGGGAAAAGCCACTGGATCTTTGAAGCCAGAAAGGTATTCTCCATGACGAGGCGAACCAGCACGGGGAGAGTGGCTGTGTGACGTGTCCGTGGGTTCCTTTCGGGCTCTGGGCAGCTCTAACCCTGCCCTACCCAGCGCGTAGTAGAAGCACATGTAAAATCAGTGAAAATGATGGCATGATTCCCTTTCCCACACAGGTCTCTCCTAATAATATCACCGCCACTGAAGCAGAAGCCCGGATCTTCTGGCTTGGCCTCATTATTTGCCCGATTATTTGGATTGTGTTCTTCTTCAGCACCTTGTTTTCCTTGAAGCTAAAGTGGCTGGTAAGGCAACTCCTGACCCTGACGTTGCTTTGACATCTGCACAGAACCAGGGGTCCCAGGAGTGGATTGTTATTTATTGATAGATTGATTGAATGCGCTATATTGAGATAATTCACACACCATACAGCCCACCTATATAATGTGTATAATTCAATGGCTTCCGTGTATTCAGGTGTGCAATCATCACCACAATCACTTTCAGGATTTTTCATCACCTGCAGACACCCTGCAGCCTTCAGCCATCACTCCCTCCCAATGCCCCTGTTCTCACAGCCTGACACCCCCTCATCTTTGTTTCTATATGTTTGTCTATTCTGAACATTTCCTATAAGTAGAATTATGCAATATGTGGTCTTTTGTGACTGACTTCTTTCACGTAACGTAGCATTTTCAAGGTTTATCCATGCTGGAGCTGAATAGTATTCCATTGTATGGATAGGCCACATTTTATTTATCCCTCCATCCACTGATGGCTATTTTGGTTGCCTCCATCTTTGGTGCACGAATAATGCTGCTAATAGAGGAGTTACAGAAAACGCCTATGACATCCTACCTTGGACAGGGAACCCTCCCTATGTGGGAATAAGCTAGCCTCAGAGTTCTGAAGTGTTATTTCAGAGTTACTGTATTTTGTTGCCATGACCCATTTCATTTGCTGAGAAAACAAAATATCCATTACATATACAAGCAACACCATGATTCGAGGTGTGGATTCTGGAGTTTGGGTCCTGGTCTGGCCTTACATCAGCTCCTGGACTTTGGGCAACTTTTATGTCTCTGGGATGATAATGGCACCGACTTCTCAGGTCGTTGACTAAAAGGTGTCCAGGAGCCTAGGAAGGTGCTGGTAAAGGTTGGTGGCTACGTTAGGTGTAGCCAGAGCTACCGCTACAGGGTGTGGGAGGAACATTTCCATGTAAGCTCAGGAGCCTGACCTTTCTTTGTCTGAGTGCAGGCCCTCGTGATAGCGGGGATCTCCCTCCAGGCCGCTAACCTGTATGGCTACATCCTTTGTAAGATGGGAGGCGAGAGTGACATCAGCAAAGCCGCAGCCAGCTTTCTGTCTCAGACAGTGTTCCAGACGGTGAGTGACTGAAGCTCATGAGAGGGGGCCTGCTGCCACTGTAAGTTTTTAACATTGCGGTGAAAATACACAACATAAAAATTTACCATTTTAACCAGTTATTTATTTGTTTTTAATCTTCACCTGAGGGTATTTTTTCATTGCTTTTTCAGAGAGTGGGAGGGAGGAAAAGAAGGGGGGATAAGGGAAGAGAGACAGACACACATCGACTGGTTGCCTCCCACCGACTCCCGAACAGCAACCCAGGTTTTTTTCCCTTTGCCGGGAATCGAATCCGTGACCCTTCAGTGAGCAGGCTGACACTCTAACCACTGAGAAATGCTGGTCAGGGCCATTTTAACTATTTTCAAGTGTACAGTTCAGTGTCATCTAGAACATTTACATTGTTGTGTGACCATCCATCCCCGACCACCATCCATCTCCATCCAGAACCTTCCATCTTCCCAAACTGAAACTGCCCATTAAACAAACTCCCTATTGCCTGATTCCCAGCCCCTGGAAATCACTATTCTACTTTCTGTTCCTATGAATATGATGACTCCCGGGACCTTAAACAGTATTTATCCTTCTTTGACTATCATCGTTAGTCTTCAGTGATTTTAAAAACGATACAATTTAGAAGCACACACATTTTTCTAACCACATATAAGTGCAGTGAAATAAATGTGACCAGGCTCATCCTGAAGTAGTGTGAACCGTGTTAAATGTTCACAGCGCTACTGTATGCTCTTGGCACATGGGGGTTTGCCCTGGGCTCAAGTGGGAATCGGGCCAGCACAGGTGGAACTGAACGCCATGCTGCCTTTCCCTTGCAGGCCTGCCCACGTGACTTTGAGAAGCCTGGCCTCGAGGGGCTGGAGATCCACAAGTGTTAGGTGAGAGGCGGGATCAAGGCAGGGGTCTGGACCGGGGCTGGAGGCTTGTGGGAAGTGCAGCTCCCCTAAGCTCGGCTGTGCCCGTGGCTTGGGCTGTCTATCCCAGTGCTCTGAGCGGCCAGGGGCACAGCCAGGTAAGGGAACCAGCCTGTGCCCTGGGCATCCCTGGGCTTTGTGACTTCATCACCCTTTACTGGAGTCCCGCTCTCCTCTCCTTGGACATGTACAAATCCAACCATATGCAGGCATGAAGGGGAGCAGGGGAAAGAACAAGGGAATTTGCCCACGTCCCACTTACACTCGGATAAGATGGAAAACAGGAATTTACTCGACCCTCAGCTGGCTCCATTCCTGTGCATCTCAAAGGGAGCCTCTCTTGTCCCTGATTCTAGAGTTCACAGCTGTCTTTCCTGTGAAATGTCTTGGATAGCACCAGAAGTTACTGGGTAATGTCAGGTGACTGACTAAACAGGGTAGACACAGACCCTAGTTTGGTTTAGTGGGTGATCTCAGGGGTATTCTGACCACAGGCAGCTGCATCGATGCTAACCTCAGAACAAGCCCTGGCTTGAGGCTCCATCGATGTTCCTTTTCTCCAGTCTAGAGAGTAACTGGACTACTACTAACACCGTGACTGCAGGCTCTGCACCGAAGCCATACATCACCCCTCTGCTTCCCTTTCAGGCATATCTTCAGAGGCAGCAATAGTGAGATGAGCGGTTCTGCAGTCAAGCAAGCTCAAGCAGGCATTCCCGACCAACAAGCCATGGGTTCTCAGTGAAGCAGGGACATTTGAGGAGACGCTTTTATTTTTTAAACGGCACATTTGTAAAGAACACCCTTTCCATGTGATCTAAAGAAAACTGTACAAGTATCAGGTGATTAAAGTGTCCGCAAAAGTGACTTCGCACCAGAGTCTGGTCCCTCTTTCCCTGAGCCCACTTGTGCCTGAGCGGTCAGGACACAATGGCCGTGCTGCTCGCGTCCATGTCCCCCTGTGTTTCAGGAGCTAACGAGGTCCTTTCTTCTTTTGGCTGCTGGAGACTACAATACTCCTGGATTCCTGGAAAACAAGGCGGCAGGCAGAGAAACACTGGCAGCTCCTCAGTGCCCCGGGCAGCCCTGCCTGTGCCAGCCTGGGTGCTTCTAGGCTGGGGTGGGATCCCCAGATGCCGAACTCCCTAAAAGCCCCATTTCTGTTGATGCCCCGAATCTTCAGTGACCTGAACACCACACACTGCCCATGCGTGGTGAGAACCACGTCCTTGGGTCATCCTTCAGAGCCCGGAAGTGATGTTACTTCCCCCACCACCACTGCACCGGGCAGAAAGCTCCTGCACAGACCAGGCCTGGGGGCCTTCGATGGCTGTCGCCTTGGCTGCCTGCTGGGAACTGGAGCTGCACGTGAGTTTGGTGTGGCTCACTAGGCTTTGTGTTTTTTCTTCTTAATTTTCTTTTGACAGCTTTACTGAGTTGCATTTCCTTTGCCATAAAATCCCCCTCACTGTGTCTTTTAAACTATGACTCAGCCCACGACACTGACGTACTGAAAGGTTTCTCATAGACTCCGGGTCCCTGGGTTGAGGGAGGCGCTCTCCAGGTCATCCCAGACCCACTGGCCTGAATGCCCAGCCGAGGCTGCATGGCAGTGACCACTTATGATCCTAAATGGGTTCTCCTCACACCCACCCCAGTTTGCTCATTTATGTCGCCTCCTGGCCCCACAGCCACCTGGATTCACAAGGCTCACATAAATACTTACTTTGAATTATACTTCTGTAGGCTAATGTAGCTGGTGAATTCGGCACGTCAATCAAAAAAGACCGTCCTTCATCACAACTCTTCCCTGAAAGAAACAAATGAAAGGGAATTAAATCCTTGAAGAAAACAAAGTGGTAACATGGCCTTGGGGCTCATTCTGTGCCTGTGACATCAGGAAGCTCCTGAACCTGCTGCATTCGTAATGAACAACGCCAAGAAAGATGGCGGGGGGCCTCCCTCCATCCACAGGGGCCCTCCCCTGGCCAAGGGTGTTCCGTGAGTGCCTACAATTCCTCTGGGTGGTGTGGCAATGCAGGTTCCAGGGCCCCACACAGGACAGATTCAGCAGCTCCTGGGTGGGCCCAGGAACTGAGTTTTCAAAGATTACTTAGTTCTTTTCAGTAAAAAGATCATGAATACACATGGAGAAAAAGTATGGGATACAAAATGTACCATAAAAGGGGAGGCTATCAGTGTTTCAGATGTCTTTCTGAAAACTGTATGTGGATCTAAATGTGGCACGTATGTACACACACACCCATATACTTAAAAAAAAAAAAGAATGGCAGCATATGACACACATGTTCTGCCTACTGCTTTTTCCATGTATAGGTCATTCCACCTCGGCATCATCCTGTCTGTTACTGTCCACCCAATGTCCTCCTGTGGACATGCAGGTTGTCTCTAGGATCTCATGTCAACCCAGTGTCTGGTGAGCAAACACAGGGGGCCTGCCCAGTGGGCGCGAGGCCTTCTTGCCTCCTCCATCTGTCTGCCCACCCCATTCCTGTGTAGACCCCTGCAGTCGGTGTTTTTGCCCCTGTCCCCAGATGCTGAGTACCGCTGGAGAAGCAGGCTCAGTAATTCCCCACCCACAGCTGCTCCCCAATCTCAGTGGACCGTGGTGAGGCCAACCTGGAAGTATCATTTCCTCGACTCCCCCACGGGACTGGGAAACCTGAGCGAGGGGAGGAGCCAGAGGTGGAGCTCCCGGGGAACACATGGAAGCAGCTCGGGAAGCCTGCCGGAGTTCCGGCAGCAGAACCAGGTCTGTCCCCTAAGAGTCCCTTTGTTCATTTCCTAGTGCCCTCCCTGCACTGGCATCGCCCTGACCAATCTCTCCTCCACTCCTCCAGACCCACCTCAACCAGCCCTCCTCCCTGAGGTCTGTCTGCTCCCCTGACCCCCTCCCCCCCGCCCCCCCCCCCCCCCCCCCCGCCCACCTGGTTCACTGCCTCTCTCTGCTGCAGGGTGAGCTCCTGGAGGTGGTTCTGGGGCCGGGCCCGGTGTATGAAAGCCCCACTCAGCGACGGAACTGGGTGCGGAGACTCACCCACCTATGTGCGGGTCCAGCGGCACTTTGCCGAGGAGCGGGATCTTCAGGTCCTGGCACATGGCCTCTGCGCCCCCCGTGGTGGGCGGGAATATCTGAGACTCCTTCTGTGAGGCGAAGTAAATGGGGAAGAATCATGATTTTGTTTCAGGATCACAACACCAGGAACACATTTTAAAGAAACTTTTCAAAAACATCCATTCTAACATGAAACACTAACTACCAAACACTTTTCATTCAACCAGCAGTACAGAACGGTCATTGTGATCCCACTTCTGGAAACGGGGAAAGCAACCGGCTTCAGAGACCCGCGCACGGAGTTGGTCAGCACTTACCTTGCACTTGGGGCAGACGAAGCCACTCATGTTCTCCACCACCCCGATGATGGGCAGCTTCACCTTGTGGCAGAAGCTGATTTCTTTCCGGACATCCTGCAGGGACACCTCCTGCCACGGTTCAAAAGACCAGTTGTTTCAAAGTCCAAGTACAAGAAAGAGAATGTGTGAGGTCGAGGGCCGGCTGCAATGCAGTGGATCGCCCTCAGAAAGCTTAGGGATGTGAGCTGTTTATCCGAAGACTATTTACTTAGTGCCAACCATGTGCTAAGCCCTGTCCAGGCACTCTTCATTCTCACAAAACCCAGAAAGGATGAACCCGAACAGCCAAACATCAAATATATAGTGAATCTGCAGAAAAGTGACCTTTTAGCATATCTCTTTTTTCCCCTTTTTATTGGATTTATTGAAGTGACAAAATTATACAGGTTCAGGTATGCAATTCCACAACACATCATCTCTACACCGTACTGTGTGAGCACCACCACAGTCAGGTGTCCTTCCTTCACCATGTATCCCCCTACACTCTGCTCCACCTCCCCAACTAGCATGTCCCAATGTTTACTTTCTTTTCAACATACTATGCTGAGCCGAAGTGTGCACTATTTTTTAGTTCAGAGGATGGGGAACTAGGCCTGTGGCGAAATCTAGCTGGCTGCCTGTTTTTGCCAGGTTCTTCTGAAACCCAGCCATGCCCGTTCTTTACATACCGTCTCCAGTAGCTTCCACCCTACGTGATACAGCTGAGTGGCTATGACAAGGACCACATGATCCCTAAAGGCTAACGTATGTACTATCCGGGCCTTCGCAGAAAACATTTGCTAACCTCTGATCTAGATTATTATGAACACAAAGAACTTTGCAGACAGAAATAAAATAAGATCTTTGGATCCCTTAAAGTTCATTTCTGAACTCTGCACATATACTTCACAGTGTGGATACTGAGTATGATCTTTGCTTAGTATCCTCCCCGTCCCCCGGTTAATGTTATTGCAGACACATGTCTTCACTCGCTGTCGTCAAGTGTGGCTACTCCTTAGCACGTGTGACTAACAGTCACGGCTCCCAAAGGATCACAGCTCTAGTCATCTATTCTCCAGAGGCACACATTTGGCTCTAGGCCTCTGTGAGGCTGGGGTGCAGGCATGTAGCTAGAACGTAAACTGGCTCTGACTTTGTGCATCTCATTGCGCCTCTGGTTCCCTCAGGAAGTCCTGTAATTCAAAGCCTGCCGGTCCCGGTGTGAAGGGCTTTGAGAAAGAGAGTGTCCACAGCCCGAAGTGACATTCTCCAGAGAGGCTCTATACAAAGGGCACGCGTGCGATGCATGGCCGCTCCCCATGGCTTCCTGGGGAAGGGCCAGCACCTGTTGGTGTGTCTCCTCTTCTTGAACCCTCAGGGACTCCGTGTTTCCATTCACACAGATGTGGCATGGAGAAGCCATCTTTGGGCCAACAAGGCTTCTGCTAATATAAGTTCCTTTTAGAGCAGCTTTATGTTCACAGCAAGCCTGAGCGGAAAGTACAGGGACTTCTCATAGGCCTTTTGCCTCCACACACAGAAAACCTTCCCCACCATCAACATCCCGGGTGGTGCATTCCATCCAGACTGTTTCCTTCTAGTAATTACATTGGGAGCGATCCATCTTCTCTCTACCGGGCCAGTGCCCAGGTGGCCGCTAGCCACCCAAGCCGTGTCTTGCTCCTCCACATGCCCCGACATCTCCCTGCACAGGGAACCAGAGGGATCCGAAGACATGAATCCTGTCACACTACTGACAGCAGCCTGCGTGTGCCCATATGCACAGCGTCCATGTTCTTCGGTGACCACATGGGCCATGAGGGAAGGCCGGTATGTTTCACTGTCCGGGTGCCTGGCCCGGGGCCTGCATGAAGTGACTGCTCAGCGAAGGCGTGGAGAAGGATGGGGCCGGCTGCCTGCCGGACTTACCCAGTGTGGGTTCCTCATAGCCCCGTGGCACAGCCTCTGTGACTGGTACACGAGGAGCTGGCAAGGCCCACAGCAGCTTCCCAAGAAAATCCCCGCCTACACTCAGGGCTGGTGCTGCAGAAAACTGGGGAGAGCTCCAAACTGTCCTGCAATGTGAGTGAGGGGGCCCTGCAGACTGCAGACTTGATGCATGAGTGGTAAGGGGGAGGTGACCATGGCGGACAATCTGAATTGTAACAGCACCATCGCTCTCGCTGGCTTTGTGAGAGGAAATTAAAAAGGCATTTTTGAACCTCTACTGGACCAAAAAAAAAAAAAAAAAAAAAAAAAAAAAAAAAATGCTTATTTGTCAGACACAAATGCCCAGGCCAAAGATAAACAGGGTTTCTGCAGAGACAAAGCAGGGCTGCTCGTCCCAAAGGGCCCTTGGTAGACCAGGTAAGTCTCAGGGCCTGCGAGGAAGCTTCTGGCAGCGCAGCTCCCACCCAGCTCCTCCGCACCGCTCACCTGGGGGGTGGTGATGATCACGGCGCCATCGATGCGCGCGGCGGCCAGGTACTGGACCACCGAGAGGTGCTCGTCCGACGTCCCGGGTGGGGTGTCCACGATGAGGTAGTCGACCTCTCCCCAGTCCACATCGCGGAGGAACTGCTTGATCATGCCTGCGAGGAGGGACCACACTGAGGCCAAGCCCCTTCCCCCAGGCTGGGCTGGGCTCCCCAGAAACAGTCTGTGACCCTCCCGTGCAGACCCTCAGTCATGGCATCTGGAAATGCCTGGAGACATTGGTGGCTGCCATGTCGAGGGAGGGGATGCTGCTGGCATCCAGAGCAGAGGCCAGGATGCCCCTGGCATCCGTGGGGTAGAGCACTGCCCACCCGTCCCCTAACTACTACGGCCCCGAATGGCCCAGTGCCGAGCCCGAGGACTCTGCCGAAGCCTCAGTGCCCACTCAGGCTGGTATTGATTTCAGTTCAGACACTTCTCTCTCTGACACAAGACACTACAACACCACATTAATATGGATAAATTCAGGGTTATGTAGGTTTTCAGGAGGGAAATCCTCCACAATAGGTATTAAAAACTGTAAAACAAAAACTGGTATTTCTTCAACCAGTGACGGCAGGGGCAACTGAACACTTAGAAACCCTGCCGCAGCGTCCCCTGCACGGGGGCAGGGGAGCCCCAGCAGTCCGGCCAGAGAGCGCGACGGACGGAACAGGGCACAAACCGTTCTTCTTGGGTCCTCGCCAGATGACAGCGTCGTCGGGGCTGCTGAGTAAGAAGCCCACTGACATCACCCCCAGGTTGTCTTCCAGGAACTGGAGAAGATGAGGCAAGAAACATTTTCCTTAAAGCCACAGCACAAGGCACTTCCCTAAGTCTCGTCTGGCTGAAAAAAACCGTTTGGGGGTAATATTACTGTGATCTATGAGTACATTCACTCTTTGAATCCTCAAATCGTTTTGAGGGGGAGGAGGTTACCATATGGGTGGGACTGAAAGAGGTAGCACTGGCCCTCAGCCACAATGACAGGCGACTTGGCTGAAATAATGAGCATCATGTCCTCCATTGGCTGAGGCTGTGGCCCTTGGGCCAAACCTGGCCACCAGCTGCTTTTGCACATGAACTTTCACTGGAATACAGCCATGGTCACTCATTTACATATCACTGCTTCTGAGCTACAATCATGGAGAGTGTGTGGCCCACAAATAGAACATGTTCACTGTCTGACGCTACAGAAGCGGTCTGCCAAGCCCTGGTCTTACATGGGGGCCCTGCGCTAGAAACGTGCCCAGGGAAATGCTTGCTGACTGATTCGCAGGCGGACTGAGATCAGTGTCGCCAGCCACCATATACCCACTATGCATACCTGGCCCATCCCCACTCCGTTGAAAAGAAGGCAAAAACGTGAGCACTCACCACTGGAGACCAGCCCGAGCCACTCTGGTGCACCTGTGTGAACATAGGCATGAGTCACTTGTAAATCCCGCACCCTGGTCACACGTCATGCAGACACATTTAATGCAGCAAGAAGACAGTTTTACAAAATAGAATTAGACTAAAATGCCACTACTTAATGCTCAATAGGAAGTGAACAGCCGGGGGGGGGGGGGGGTAATGAAAGCGATAATTCAATATCTTTTTCCCCAACAACTTGGGCTGTTTTGAAACTGCATAGCCATCTAGTCAGGGAACTGGTTATCCAAGTCAAACACAATTTGGGGTCTGAGGTATTTTTAAAGAGTGACAGAAATTGCTTGTGGGTTACTGAGAAAATGCAGTGACTGTGGAGCAGTGGGGTTGCCCCTCAAAGACCGGAAGTGAAAAGTACTGAGTGAGCCAGGTGACACAGCACCGCCCTGCGTGTGGCCTGAGTGTCCGCTGGGGCCTGCTGTCCCCAGGGAGCAAGCACTCGGAGGAGGGTGTCAGGGAGACGCTCCCGGGGGACTTCAAGGTGGACTCTCCATCATGGGAGTTCACAACAGCCAGGGCTCAACTTCGCACCACCTGCTACGAAGCTAAGACTTAAGCAGCTCCCAATGCCGCCTACATGACAAGCTTACATGTCAATCTTAGACGTTAGAGCAGCGCAGGAGCCAAAACGGAAAGTCTGCTTTTCTTAATGGAGACTTACTTTCTAAAACAGCTCTATGGAAACATCAGTCATACAATGCATACAATGCACCTACTGAGAGGGTACAGTTCAATGGCTTTCAGGATAGTCACATGATCGTACATTCACCACCGCAATCAACCTTAGAGGACACCCTGCACCTCTTCCCTGTCGCCCCCAATCCTTCCAAAACTAGGTGACCACAGATCTGCTCTATCTCTGCACGTTGCCTGTTTCAGACAGTCAGAGAAGTGCAATCATGTAACATGTGGTTCTTTGTGTCTAGCTTGGAAGTCTCATTAAAAACAACACAACAAAACCATTTGTGCCCTGGCTGGTGTGGCTCTGTCGGTTGGAGTGTGATCCTGTGCACTGAAACGTTGCTGGTTCAATGCCTGGTCAGGGCACATACAGGGATTGAAGGCTTGATCCCCGATGGAGGGTGTGCAAGAGGCAGCCGACTGATGTTTCACTCTCACATCAATGTTTCTCTCTCTCTGTTTCTTTCTCTCTTTTTCCCTCTTCCACCCCCTCTCTCTAAAAATAATATATACATAAAATAACATACATATAATAGTATACTAGTATACATATAGAAAAGTTAATTCCTACTTATCCAATTAAAAAACCAGAAAACCTCCCCAAAGAGCAGCTCCCATGCCCGCCCTGCTCCATGCTGTCTGCCTCCTCACCCTGCTTTATCGATAGTTTTCTATTACCTATCATCTGTTTGTCTGTCCCTTCCCACGAGGGCACACGGGTCTGTATCTGCCTTGCTCACCCTGGGTCCCAGCACACAGAACAGTGCTGCACTTAAGTACGAATGCACCATTTTTGACACTTCCAGAATCAAAGCACTGCCCTCCTGGGATTGCTTCTTGCAGCTCCGAAGGGAGACTAGCACCTGCTCAGACCATTGCAGCCCCGCCCCTATCCCACATCACTCTCCCACTTCACAGTCTCAGTTCCCCAGAGGTGACCACAGGGCAGAAACATTCCCTCACTTCCAGGGTACAAGCCCCCAGCCAACGCTGGTCTGGCTTTCCCAGTCAGCTACGTTTCTGTGTCTTACTTCTGCATTTTACTTGCTGTTTCCCTTCCCCTCTGAGACGGCATGGAAACCAACACTTCTTTAATGGTTTAGATGAACTTTATAAATAATCCCCTCCCCCCCCACATCCCGCTCAATTCACAGTTATTGTTGAAGTAGAAAGATGATCAGCAAAAGTTTATCTGGTTTTACCACGTCCATGTAAACCTGTGTGGGCTGTGCTAGTCCTTCGTTCAGGCTGAGTCGCTCAGCACAGGAGTTTGCTGTTAAGAGACCGCTCTCCTGCAGTTTATAACATAGCTCTTACCTGCTCTCCTTCCAATCCCATAATCTTGGGAATGGACGGCCCACATATATCAATGTCTAGAAGAGCAACCTGGGGACAAGAAGAGACGAGAGCTGTGACATAACTGAAAATACAATCCTCCAGACACACACAGCTGGGAGGGGACAGGGTTAGAGGAAAAGGAGGGAGGGGAGGAGAGGAAAGAAATTGGGTCAAACATGGACCAACGAGTATCTCATGAGGAAGAGTTACAGCACTTACCTTCCAGCCACAGAGACACAGTCCAAGGCTCCCAAAGAGAACTGGGCAAAGTGCTCAGCACGGACCCCCTCCCTCCCGCCCAGACTGGCCCGGCTCGAGGTGCTCCTGTGGACCCGGGGGTCAGGTCACATGGAAATTCAGGTTTGGCACTGTTTACTTGGCCCTGACCATGTGCCTGGGGGTGAGATCATTAACTCCGCTTTACAGAAGAGAAACTAAGGTTCAGGGGGCCCCATAACCTGTTCAATGAGCCAGGACAGAGCTGGGACCTAAATAAAGGTCTCTGACTCCAAAGTCAGGGCTCTCTCCACTATCTCAGGGGGCCTGGCAAGGAGCTGAGCTCTGACCAAACCCCGATTCCTTATGATTCTGAGGCTAGTGCTAGCCTCAGCTTCCAGAAAAGAAACTGAAATTAAGAAGGAAATCTAGGACACCTCTTTGCTAGTGTAAGCGCAGCCAGGATGACTCCTTCCACACCAAACGCCCTGCTTTCCCTGAGGCATAAGAGGTCTGAATCCGCCTTCCGGAACGCTGAAAGGCGGCTAATATTCATCTTGAAAGCTCTAATGGGTTGCATACAAAGTGCAGCATCTCAGGGTAACTTTCAACTTGCCCCAGATTTGCTTCTTGCTTCCCTCTTCAAGGCTCTCAACAAACAACCTACTTCCTCACCTGCTCTCAGACTGGGCAGGAAAGCATTTCTTACATTAGATCAGCCGTTTGCCTCAGGCGCCCTCTGCTGGACTAAGCAAGGAGTGCAACAGAATGACACACCTTGATCTGTGAAACAAGTATTTTGGGAGGTTAGGGCCCTTCTAGCTTTAGAATCTACAAACCCCACAGATGGGCCTAGAAACTCAACAGGCCTAAAGCACCTAGCGTGGACCTTTTAATTGTCAAGGTCATCTTTTAGAGCACAAAGCAAGATGATGAAGTGGTGATTCAGGGAAGTTGGTGACCTGTGGTGGAATGATGGCGTGAGAGCTTTTGATGTCAGAGGCTGGGCACCCCACCTCCCTTCACCACAACTTACACATTTCCCAGTCTGTGATTGGTCAGGAGCTTCCCAGTTCTGCTGCCTCCTGATGCAAGGCCTTTTGCAAAGGAGTTGTCAGATACCTGCCTGCCTTGAGCGCAGACACGAACAGCCTTGCTCAGGGTGCTTCCCACCATCCTGCTGAATTCAGGGCAGGGGGGAATGTGTGTGGCTGGAGTGTGATCTACGAGACACACTGAGCATCTATTCTATGCCCACACAGGGCACCTTTTGCAAAGTGATACACTTTCCCAAGTACTGATGTTTTTTAAAAAGCACAGCTGCATAAAGAAATTCACTTATCTAGCCCTATTTCCATACCGGATGGTGTGCTTTCCTTCAGGATATTGCAAAGTCTAGACGTGTGTGCAGTGGGGATTCTGGACATAATTATATGGAAGTGCAATTCTATGTAAACAGTTGTTGAGTCACAAGTTGTTACTTGTAACTGGCCCGGTGAAAGCTCACCTCCAGAGAGCTGAGAAGAATGTGCCCAGCAGCTTCAAAAAGCCACGATTACTCTGGGTAACCTGGACCGTGAGAAAACAGACTTCTTGGCTAGCCAACTGGACCATACAGATTTGCAAGAGATTGGTGACTGATAGAAGAACGACTTGACAAATATGTTTTGAATCTGCTCAGCACTGTTTGGGTAAGCTATAAATCATTATCACTGAAGGAAAAATTTCATCACCACCCCTATTTCATTTAGTGGAGTAAAGTAATAATGATGACTGCTATCAAGGACGCTCATTGAGCACTTACTATATGTCAGGTACCCTGTTAAGCACTTTACGTTTACATGTATCATCTCACTCTGCCTGAGTCCATTTTTCCTACCGAGGTCACAGCAGTGGTGTGGGTGGGGCTGGGTGACGCCAGGGCCACCACCCTAGATGCACCCCAAATGCTCAACTACTTAGTAGAGTTCCAACTCCTCTCTCCTCCAAAAGTTGGGAGGTTCTGCTCTGTCTCCCCAACTTTGCCCTCATTTGTTCCCTGCCGTCTGCTCCAATTCCTGCCCTAGTTTGGACCCTTGGGGCCTCCTGGAGACATGGCTTTGTCCATTCATGGTACTCAACCACACACTCGCTGGCTGTCACGTGGTGTTCCTAAAGCACAGGTCTGGCTCAGCCTCAGCCTGGCCCCCTTCCCCGGAGCAGTCTCCCAGACTGCCTGCCTCTCCATGTCTGCCCTGGCCCCACCTCTGTGCTTTGGTTTCCCCTCCCCCATCTATCAGTCGCCATCACAGTCGTGAAGCCACCTTCCTCAAGCCAGTCATCAATCCTTTTCCCCAAATCCCTAGAAAACATCTTGATGGCAGACACCAGATTCTAGAGAAGCCCACATAGGCCAGTGACAGCAGCTCCATGGGATACAAAATGATCGGAACAGAAATGAGGGATAAGGTAGAATTCAGAGCCCTAATGAGTGACAGGAACATGGAGCTTCACAGATCGCGTAGTCCAGCCACTTCACTGCCTCAGGAAGGCTATGTCCTGCCCAAGGTTCCAGTCCTCCAAAGAAGTTCTTCCCCAGCCAGCACAGGTGCTTCTGGTGTAAAAAACAAGCCAGGACCCAGCAAACTGCACCCTGGGGGCCAAATCCAGCCTGCCACCTGTTTTCATACAGCCCGCAAGCTAAAAATGATTATCACATTTTTAGAGGTTTGGAAAAATCAAAATCAAAAGAATACTTTTGTCATGTTGTAAAAATTATGTGAAATTCAAATTTCAGTAACAATAAAGTTTTATTAGAACACAGTCATGCTTGTGGTATACAGGTTGTTGATGGCTGCTTTCATGTTTAAGGGCAGATTGAATAGTTGCTACAGAAACTGTATGGCTGGCAAAGCCTAAAATATTTGCCATCTGATTCTTGACATGAAATGTTTGCCAACTCCTGAAGCAAACTCTAATTTTGTAATCCAATGACTTTAAAAAAATGTATTTCTGGAGTTCTTAGATACTGGTGAGGTGTCTTGGGGGCCACTGCGTGAGTGTATGTGTTTGTATGTTGAGGGCATATCAGAATGGTGGCTTGATCCTCTTGCCCACTGTAGCTGGCTTTATTGGTGTTTTTTTTTTTTTTTGGGGGGGGGGGTATGTGTGTATGTGTGTGTGTGTGTGTGTGTATAGGAAATAAAGCCTTTATTATAGTAAGGTCTTAGGGTGCTATTGCTCTCTGAGGTAGAAAGGTTTATTTCATACAAATAGAAAGTAGTGAAATTTACCCAGCTTTTAGAGTTTTAAAATAAGCAACATGTGGCAGTTTTGAAATCTTAATAATAAATATACCTCTACAATCCCTCTAGAACTATCTTACTTTCTAAAAAAGTCAAACGAAAGTAAAGGGCCATTTGTCAACAAGTAAGAAAAGAAAACTGAAGTGAAAGTGTTAACCCTCGTATATAAAAATAACTTTCAATATTCAGAATGTTAAAAAAGGAATGTTCAGAAGTAAAACAATGCATGAAAGAAGGTACACACAAAGACCATGGAAAGAACTGAAATGGCAGGGAATGGCTTTCAAACAAAATAAGATGGTTTCTAGGTTACAGAGCTCTTTTGCAGGCCCGGGAAGTGCTCTGATGGAGAAAGCAGCATTTAGTTTGCAACTGAAATAGTGACCAGCAAGTTCTCTAACCCAGAGCGCACACAGTGCCAATTCACAAGCTCTCATGAGGTCTCTCACTTCAGGGGTCAACACAGCGGAGGCTGGGTTTTAGAGTCACCCATGCCACTCTAGCAGGTTTCTCTCCTGGGATTTTGGGCAAAATTTCATTTTGGAAATAACAGGTCATTTTAGAATGTGACCTGTGTTAAAACAAAACAAAACTAAACTAAAAAAAACACAATTGTTATGGTTTTATTAGATATAAAATGATCAAGTGAATATTGGGACATTTTCTAAGGTCAATGCAAAATGAATTCTGAACTTGATGTACCAATTCTGAACTTGAGTACCAATGAATAACCTAATGTATTTTAAAAATCACAGGTACTGCAAATTTCCATTTGACCTTTTGGTAAAAAGTATTTTCTTATTCCTTGCCCCACTGTACTTTTTTTTTTTTTTTTTTTAATATATTTTATTGATTTTGTACAATGAGGAAGGGAGAGAGAGAGATAGAGAGTTAGAAACATCGATGAGAGAGTGATCGATCAGCTGCCTCTTGCACACCCCCTACTGCGGATATGCCTGAAACCAAGGTACATGCCCTTGACTGGAATCGAACCCGGGACCTTTCAGTCCCCAAGCCGACGCTCTATCCATTGAGCCAAACTGGTTTCGGCCCCACTGTACTTTTTATAAAGGCTGAAATCCAGAGAGCAGCAGAGGGCATATGTTTGAGGCCCGGTACAGGAGTTGGCAAATTTTTTTTTTTTTTTTTTGAGGTTTGATGAAGTTTTTGTTTTATGAAATATATAGAGCATGGCAATTGTTTTTTTTTTTTCAAGGGCCAAACAGAAAACATTTTAAGTTTTGTGGGCAAAATTAAGCTATTATGTAGGCACTTATGTAACAACTAGAGGCCTGGTATACAAATTTGTGCATGGGTGCGGTTCCTTGGCCTGGCTGGTGATCAGGGCCACCGGGGCAGCTGGCCAGGGGGAAGGACCATGAGAGATTGGCTGTGGGAGCACACTGACCACCAAGGGGCAGCTCCCCCTGGTTGTCAGTGCACATCATAGCAACCATTTGGTCAACCAGTTGTAATGGTCTCTTAGGCTTTTATAGAGATTTAAAAGCAACCATTTAAAAACAAACAGCTCTGGCCAGTTGGCTCGGTTGATTGGAGCATTGTCTGGTACACCAAAAGGTTGTGGATTCAGTTCCCAGTCAAGGCACATACCTAGGTTGTGGGTTTAATCTCTGGTTGGGGCGTGCATAGGGGAGGCAACTATTGATGTTTCTCTCTCACACTGATATTTCTCTCTCTCTTTCTCTCTCCCCCCCCCCCCCCGCCTTTTTCTCTCTCTCTCTCACTAAAAATCAAGAAAAACAACAGCAACATATCCTCAGGTGAGGATTAAAAGGTAATAATAAAAACAATCCAAAATAAACCCCAAATAACAAAATAATAACAATAATAAAGAATAAAATAAAAGCAACTATTTATAAATGTAAAAATCATTCTTAACTCACAGGCCATAAAAAGAGATCAGCTTGTTTTGGCCATGAGCTATAGTTTATAGAATGCTGGCCTAGAAAAAGTCAGAAAGGGGTTAATCATGAGAAAGAATTCTGAACTTGATGTAATAAATAGCCAGCATGCCGAGAGAAATGTACACCTGTTAACCTTTCACAACGAGAGCATCCAATGAAAGCTTTCATTGCTTGACTATGTGGTTCCTCATCTTCCCTGCAGGTATCAAAGAAGCCAATTTGGCTTAGTCTAAGGAACCAGTTCTCCACAAGCCATCATGAACCTCAGACAGGGCCTCTCCCCAGTTTTTCCCTACCTGCGTGTTTTCATCCTCCGCTAGGGCGTGAGCAAGGTGGGCGCTGAACGTGCTTTTCCCAACGCCGCCTTTCCCAGACAACACCAAGATTTTGTGTTTCACGGTCTTCATTTTCTCTTTGATTTCCTCTACGGCTGCAAAGAGAGCAATTCAGGTGATGACATCCTCCAACTAAATCCCAAATGTCACTCTTCCAATGGGCTAGAAGGGATTGTGTGTGAAATACCACCCAGTCAACGGTAGTAATACGTGGTACAAAGAAAATAGGGCTATTACCACATCTGACATTTTCTTACTTATTTACTTAGTTGTCATATCTTACTAGACTATAAGCTCCACGAGGGTGAGACTCTGTCCTGGAGTGTTCACCACTTTATTCCCAGCTTCATACCAGAGCTATGAATATACAGTCATACACCACTTACCAACAGGGAAACGTTCTGAGAAACGTGTCATTAGGTGATTTTGTCCCGCAATCATCGTAGAGTGCACTCACACAAACCTAGATGGCAGAGCCTATTATAAACTTAGGCTATACGATATGGCCCACTGCTCCTAGGTTACAGGACTAAAGAGCATGTTACTGTATGAAACAGCACGAGATTAAATCAAGCACAAGAGAAGATGATATATTCAAAGGATAAACATGAGATGTAGGAGGCAGCTGCCAGTGTAACACAGCATACTATTTTTACAGCAAACTCTTATTAAGTAGAAAGAATACATTTAAAATAAGTATAAGTAGTAAATATATAAGCTAATTAACATAATAGTTTATTATCACATATTATGTGCCATATGTAATTATATGTGCTGTACTTTTATATGACAGGTTTATTCACACTAGCATCACCACAAACATCTGAGGAACACTTTGCACTATAAAATTAGGATAGTGACTAACTGGTGATAGGAATTTTTCAGCTCCCTTATAATCTCATGGGACCACTGTCACATATGCAGTCTATGGTTGATCCAAATATTATTATTTGGTGCATGAGTGTAGTAATGATTCTCAAACTGGGGGGCAAAAATCTGCCAGGGGACATCTGGCAATGCTGACATTTTTAGTTGTCACAAGGAAGGGGTGCTCCTGGCGTGTAGTAGGCAGAGGCCAGGGATACTGCTAAATGCCCGACAATGCTGAGGACAGCCCTCACCACACAGAACTGTCAGCTCCCAGAGTCAGTAAGTGCCCAGGTTGAGAAAACTGACAAACAGCAGGCACTTGGTAAGTACTCGTCACTGACGACTATCATGTATTAGACATGTGCTGTGCTTTCACGATTTCACCTTCTTTCAAACTCTTCAAACAACATTGTGAGGTAACTAATTTTCTCCCCCATTTCTGATGAGGAAATAGAGGCCCAGAAAGATTAAGACTCAAGGTCAATACTGTTTTTTAGGGAACTAAAAATCAAACCCAAGTCTCTCTCTGAGCTCCTTCAAAATTCTTCTCCCAGCTTCTTGCCTTTTAAGTTCCACAGTTCTCCCCACTCTCCAATGTGATCCCCTTAGTGCTTATCGCTGTGATGACTTACTGCTTGCTTGCTTGGTTACTGTGGGTCTCCCCTACTAAAACCTAAAATCTGCTATACCAGCCACCCATCACAGCGCACTGTGCCTAGGAGGCGATTAATACATATTTCTGTTGAATGAATGGAAGAATCGCTCCTCAAAAAAAAGAAATTCTGTCCAAAGAAAGTAGCTGAGGGCGCCAGGATTTAAACCCAAACTCCCTGACTTCAGAGATTATAGCCTATATCCCATTGCACGTGGCCTCCTCCAGACCAGTCACTGTCACTCAAACTTCTGGCCACACCCCTCAATCCAGCCAACTTCCCCCACGTCCTGCCCTTCTTAAGACTCCTGACTTCAGGCAAGTCACTGAACCTTAGGCTCCACTGCAGCCGGCCCCTTTCCTAGCTCCTGGCCTTTTAAAGGCCCTGCCCCTCGGGCCCCGCCTCTGTCATTCATTCCTCAAGTCCCGCCCCTTGGCGCTTCCCCTCCCCCCACAGACTTCATCAAGCCCCGCCTCCTCCGGTCCCGTACCTGCAACGCAACCCGTAAGCCACGCCCACAAACCCCACCCAGTTTCGCCATAAGCCCCGCCTCTTCCGGCTCACGCCTTTTACGTTCCGTGCAGAGCTTGCCCCTTCCTTACCAGGGTCTGGAGCCTCGCCGGCGCCTGATGCGCACAGCCGCTGGTTGGGGCACCCTTGGCATGCCGCCCCTAGGCCGGCCTGGGCGCTGCAGGTGCCCGGACAGTCTGTGCGGAGACAGAATCACAGTTAGAGCGGCCCCTGTCTTTCAGCCCCGCCACCCGCGCCCCTCCCGCGCGCTCACTGTGCGGCGTCTCCTCCATTTCGCCGCCTTAGTCGCCGGAACCTGCGCGACGCCGGAACCCGTTTTGCGTACTTCCGGCTCGTGGCTCTCAGCCTCCCGCTGCGTCGGAAAGAGCAGTGCGCACGCGCGAACATTGTGCGGGAAGCCTAGGGCTGATTTATTACTCTACGCATTGGAACTGCTGCAAATATCAAATACTTAAGCACGTATCTCCCAGGAACAAAGGCGTGATCTTACATGACCTCCATACCACGTTGATAACCAAGAAATTTGCCATTGGTGAAAAATTACTAGCCAGTGTGTCTTTAGTCTTCTTTAATCCAGTACAGCCCTCCTTCCTGCCATTCCCTCCCCTCCCCTGGCCACATGTTTTGTCTTTGTGAGGTTAATAAATTTGAACAGTTCAGGCCAATTGTTTTATAGAATATCCCATAATCTTTATTTGATTCCCCCACCCCTCGTGATCAGATTCAGATTGCAAGTTTTTGGCAGAAGACAAATAACATGCTCTACTAGTAAGTATCAGAACAGGAGGAGCATATGCCTCTTGGTCCCATTGTTGGTATAAAAAACCCCACAAATGTCAGCTGAATCAATTTTAAAAATCTTATTGGGTTTGTCAACCAATGGTCTTTGGCACCAACTTCACACCAATGGGAATCCCCAGTTTGGGGGTGTGGTAAAGAAGCAAACTTTATTCAATGCAAAACAGCTCAATTCTAACACAAAGCAAGGCTTTGAAAGCAGCACACAAGTCCCTCTCTGCCTAGAGAGCTCTGCTCTGCTCCTCAGGGGTCTGTTCTGTGCAGTGCAGTCACCTCTGGCCTGTGCCAGTCTGCTATGCTGCAGTGAGAGACAGCTCCAGTGTTTCAACTCCACTGGGGAAATGCAAACCTCAGCCTCTATCGAAAAAGAAAAGTGATTTTCGGGATTCCAAAATCAGAGGGAAGCTGGTTTATATAGACAGAAGTCTCCACCCCTACTCCCTGATTGGTCAGTCCTCTGCAAATGAGGGATCCAAAGCTTCAAAGTTTGATTGGTCAGAATAGAGCCACTCTGATTGGTTGGAACTCTCAGCTCTAATGAGCTGAGGAAAGCCTCAGTTCTATTGCTTCTTTATATGGGCTGACTGGGATGGCAGAAACAGTGCAGGCAGGCAAGCCAGTGCAGAGACCCCTGGCTTGCCTACCAATGCAGGTAGATCAGTGCAAGGCTTCTCCCAGAAGTGCAGTTTGTGTGAGACCCCTGTGCAGAAATGGCTGTTCTTAAAACTTGAGCCCAGTGTTAGGTCGAGGCAGGGGGCGAGGGGAGGGGAGGGGGGACCAGAGCCGATGCAAGCATCTGCAAGGTGGATGGTAACAAAGATAGCTGGCTAGTTGGCACCTTCCTAGGGCCTTCCTAGACCCCTGGCCGGAGGCAGGAATTCCACACCTCTCATACCCTCTTCCCTCCCCTCACTAAACAGCTGTATAAAAGAAGTACCTATGCCGCTTTTTGGCGCGAACTTCCCTGGCCCACCCTCGGACCAGCGAGCTTCCCCGGGAGCACAGATTAAAACCTTCCCCCCTTTTAATGGCCTGGATTCCGTGTCTTGCTTCTGTGTCACAAACCTCTCAGCTGGAACCTTACACCCAGTTAGCCACCAGGAGCCATTCTTAGTAGGTGTCTTCCTTCTCTTGGATCACAGCTTTATTCAATGATTTGCTAATCAGGCAGCATTTCATCTAGCAGATAGAAAGGAGATCTGAGGAGCTGTATAAAACGAAAGACTTGCAGACTTACATGGTGAGGATGGGTGAGATGGGTGAGGGTAGATTACATAGGAGTTTATGGAGCTCTGAAATCAGATGACTTGTATTTAAATTTGGACTCCAACCAATCCTTATAAGCCGAAAACACGGGGCAAGACCCTTCATGTCCCCAGCCTCTTTTTGCTTTAAAAATGGGTTAATGAAAACATTTGCCTTGTGAAGTTGCTGTGGAGATAAAATAATCTACCTCATGCAAAACACCAAGCACAGAACATCCAGAGAACAAAGCTCTACTATAGGCCTAGTTCTGAGATACTGCAGGTTCAGTCACAGAACACCATGATAAAGCGAGTATTGCAATACAATGACTCGTAATCTTGTTTGTCTTCAATCGGAGAAAAAACGTAACACCTGTCAAGTACAATAAAGAGAAGAGCAAGGAAACAAAGTCTGCCGGTACAGTTTGTAAGGTTGTAAGTGACTGTTGCAGAAATGATTTCCTGCACTCTTATTTACAGTTGGGGGACTGAGCCTACACAGAGAAAGTTTCCCCAGATCACGTGGCAGGTTAGTGGATGAAACAAGACTAGCACATGGGGCAAAGTAGTTAAACTAGATGCTGATTCAGCAGGACAGGAGCATTTTAACACAGGTGGTGCACAGGAGGAATCTTGGCTTTTGCATTTCACCACTAGATGGCGCCCTACCCCTATCTATGAAGAAAGTAGTCAGGAAATGGGAAGAAAAAGATGTTAGAGCCCTAGCTGGTTTGGTTCAGTAGATAGAGCATTGGCATGTGAGCTGATAGGTCCCAGGTTTGATTCCAGTCAAGAGCACATGCCTGTGTTGCAGACTTGATCCCCAGTGTGGGATGTGCAGAAGGCAGCCAATCAATGATTCTCATCATTGATGTTTCTATCTCCCCCTCTCCCTTCCCCTCTGAAATCAACCACAAAAAATTAGACAATTTTCTACCTCTTCCCTTATCCAGCAAAAATAACTAACAAAGGGCTATACACCGCATGTACTTAATAGATAATTGAGATAAGAAATGAAGTTCCATTTTATTATTATACTAGAGGCCCAGTGCCACAGGTAGGGTCCTTAGGCCTGGCAGGCTTTCAGGGCCACATGGGGCATTGATCTTCCCTGGCTGCCAGCCACAGCCCAGCTGGAGCCTTCCTTTGTTCTACGTCACCCCCTGGTGGTCAGCACACATCATAGCAAGTGATTGAACTCCCAGTCTCCCTGTAGAATTCCCAAGGGAAAGCTTTACATATTAGCCCTTTACAGAGAGTATATACTAGAGGCCCAGTGCATGAAATTTGTGCATGGGGGTTAGGAGTCCCCTCAGACCAGCCTGAACCCTCTCCAATCCAGGACCCCTCAGGGAATGTACTACTGCCAGTTTAGGCCCTATCCTGGGGAATGGGCCTAAACTGGCAGTTGGACATCTTTCTCACAATCCAGGACCACTGGCTCTTAACTGCTTACCTGCCTGCCTGCCTGATTGCCCCTAACTGCCCCACCTGCAGGCCTAGTCGCCCCTAACTGCCCCCCCCCCTCCTTGCTGGCCTGGTCACCCCTAACTCTCTCCTCCCACAAGCTGGCCTGGTTGCCCTTACTGCTCCCCCTGCCAGCCTGGTCGCCCCCAAATGCCCCTGCTGTGGGCCTGGTTGCCCCATGCAGCCTGCTGTTCGCTCATTTGGTCGCTCCTCACTGACCCCCCTGCTGGCCTGGTTGCCTCACACAGCCTGTTTGGTAATCCGTTTGGTTCCGATGGTTGCTAGGCTTTTATATAGATAGATAGATGGAGAAACTAACATTTGTTGGTTAAGAACATGGGTTCTTGAATGCCAGCTGTCTGGGCTCAAGTCCCAGATCCCTATTCACCAGATTTTCAGTTTTTCTTCATGCCTCAGTTTCCTCCTCTGTAAAATGGCAATAGTAATATTAACTACCTCAAAGGGTTATTGGTGGGAGGATTAAATAAGTTAACATGAGGGAAATGGTTTTTAAAAGGGCACATTTGAGCCTGCTTGTGCTTGCAGTGATTAGTTCAGTTCTGAGCTTTATTAAAACCATCACAATTAAGAGAGTGAACACATGTGTCATTTTCCAACGTTTCCTCATGACCTTTTGCAAACCTCTCCTTATCTCATTTTCAGGCAATCACTCATCTGTTTATGTGTCTATAGATTAGCCTGGGTTTTCTAGACTGTATATGCTCTTTCTGATCTGGCTTCTTTCACTCAGCATATTTATTTTAGGTTTATCTGTGTTGTTGTTGTGTGTGAAGTTCATTTCTCCTGGTTGCTATGTAGTATTTCATTGTCAGATTACACCATAACTTGTTTATACATTCACCTGTGGATGGATATTTGGATTGCTTCCAGTTTGGGCAGGTTACTAATAAAGCTGCTAGGAACATTGTTGTGAAAGTCTTGGCAATGACATATACTTTCTTTTCTCTGGAGTAAACACGTTAAGAGTGGAATGGTGCAATGGTACGAAACTATCAAACTTTTTGCCAAAGTGGTTGTACACTCCCACCCACAGAGAGATGGCCAGTATTTTGGCTTTTTGACCCTTTAATAGGTGCGTAGTGATATCTTACTGTGGTTTTAATTTACATTTATCTAGTGCAGTGGTCAGCAAACTGCGGCTCTTTGGTCCCTCGAGTGTGGCTCTTCCACAAAATACCACAGCCTGGGCGAGTCTGTTTTGAAGAAGTGGTGTTAGAAGAAGTTTAAGTTTAAAAAATTTGACTTTCAAAAGAAATTTCAATTGTTATATTGTTGATATTTGGCTCTGTTGACTGATGAGTTTGCTGGCCACTGCTCAAGTGAATAATTGTGTTGAATGCTAGGTGTCTGCGTTTAAGTCCCAGATCCCCATTCACCAGCTTTCCATGTGTTCATTCACCATCAGCATGTCTTCTTTGCTGAAGGACTCCTCAAATCTAAAGCCCATCAAAAAACTTTTTTTTTTTTATTATTGAGTTCTGAAAATATTACATATTTTCTGGATACAAGTCCTCAATCAGTTGTATGTTTGGCAAATATGTTCTTCTAGTCTGTGGCTTATCTTTTCCTTCTCTTAAAAATGTATTTTTAAGAGCTATTCTTTGATGAGGTCCAGCATATCAATTTTTAAAAATGTGTTGTGTGTTTGACCTCATATCTAAATCTTTGCTGAACACAAAGAAATCTTTGCCTAACAAAGATTTCCTCCTACATTTTCTTCTAGAATATTTATAATTTTAGAC